AGGGAGGCCACGATCACGTTCTCGGCGGCGGCGAGGAAGCGGCCATCGTAGACGTCGAGGGAGGCAGCGCCAGAGAAGAAAGCCCCGCCGTGGATCCAGACGAGGACGGGGACCGGCTCCGGGGGCCGGGGGTGGGGCACCCACACGTTGAGGAAGAGACAGTCCTCGGACTGTGGAATATTGGAGTTCCACATGTAGGCGTCGGGGTAACTAGTAAGCGGAGGCTGGGGGCAGGCGTGGCCGAAGCCGGTGGCCTCCAGGACGTCGCTCCAGGGCTGGTGGGGAAGCGGCTTCTGGAAGCGCAAGGCCCCCACGGGGGGCTGGGCGTAGGGGACCCCCAGGAAGGCCGTGACCGTGCCGGAGCCGGCCGGGAGGTGCTTGCCCCGGATGGGGCCGCTGGTGGTGAGCACCACGATGCCGTCATCATCGGAGCCGGCGCTGGGGCCCGGCAGGGAGAGGAGGAGCAGGCAGGGGAGCACGGAGAGGAGTCCCGGCATCGCGGCGGCTGAAGGGAAACCCCCCACCCCACCCCAGAATAAGTTATAGGGAATGTGATTTGGGGGTCTTTCTCCTCTAGGGGGTGCTGGTTCCCCGCCATCGAAACACAGAAGCAGGAGGGAGCGCCCCATAGTGGACTGAGCGCCTTTAGAAAATACAGCCATCTCATCAGTCACTCGCCCATGCGCTCAACCCCAGCCCTATGACAGCCTCCCTTGCTCTAACCACTAGACTCCACTCTCCCTCCAGAGCTGGGGATAAAACCCAGGAGGCCTGCCTCCCTGCTCCAACCACTACACCCCATTCCCCTCCCAGAGCTGGGGATTAAGCTCAGGAATCCGGCCTCCCTGCTCCTTGCATTAACCACTAGACCCCACTCTCCTCCCAGAGCTGGGGATAAAACCCAGGAGGAGTGCCTCCCTACTCCTTGCGTTAACCACTAGACCCCACTCTCCTCCCAGAGCTGGGGATAAAACCCAGGAGGAGTGCCTCCCTACTCCTTGCGTTAACCACTAGACCCCACTCTCCTCCCAGAGCTTTCCCCCCTAGCCCCCCCTCCCCTCCCAGAGCTGGGGGGGGCCCAGGACTCCTAGCTCCCAGCCTCCCCTAACCACTAGACCCCACTCTCCTCCCAGAGCTGGGGATAAAACCCAGGAGGAGTGCCTCCCTACTCCTTGCGTTAACCACTGGACCCCACTCCCCTCCCAGAGTTGGGGATAAAGCTCAAGAATCCCACCTTCCTGCCCTTTGCTCTAACCACTAGACCGGGAGTCAGGCACCTCCAACCTGTGGGCCGATTCATCCGTGTTAGCTGCTGGCGGGCTCCCAGACGGCTTGTGTACCTGAGTACCCAGGAGGAGTGCCTCCCTACTCCTTGCGTTAACCACTGGACCCCACTCCCCTCCCAGAGTTGGGGATAAAGCTCAAGAATCCCACCTTCCTGCCCTTTGCTCTAACCACTAGACCGGGAGTCAGGCACCTCCAACCTGTGGGCCGATTCATCCGTGTTAGCTGCTGGCGGGCTCCCAGACGGCTTGTGTACCTGAGTGCCCACAGGCTT